CTTGCACTGACTATCACCTTTCAACCCATTTCAACTTTTTCCATCACCCTGAACCAAATATAGAACGAACTTGTGTACTTTGTGGTTCATATCATAAATATCCACCATATCTAGATACAATCCAGTCACGTTGGAGCCAACGGATTGACGTTGGTTCTTATCAACTTTCTAAGCTGCTCCAACGAGACCTGTTCCAGCCTAAGCGTAAGCCTACCCACACACCAGCATGCACATCCACTCATATTCAGAGAACTTGCATATTCAGAGAATCCATTTCCGTTTTCTATTAGAGTAAGGGGGGAGAAAATTTCATTTTGTGGCGCACTGATTGGTTCCAGGACACAACCTTCGATTCCATCTACCTCCATCTCTATGGCCGTATCTTCCATCAGCTCTAATGTCTGTTTGCACGTGTAACAGGTGCAGGTGAAAAGCAATAATGGGCTGGGAATCGGGAGTTGATGCTGATGTGGTGGGGGGGATACCAGGTGGCAATGTGTGTATTTTTGCGAGATTGCTGAGAGTTTTGCTGTGGCAAATTACCATTGTGGTAGGCAAAGGTAGACGGTAAGGCAGAGCTCTAACTGCCCCAGAGACTGCCCCAGCTTCGCTTGAAGGCCCTGGTTAACCTGACTTTCGCCTGGCTGTATCGCTCTCCATCTCTGGTTGATTGCCTTTTAATTAGTTGTAAGCTGATTATGCAAATGAGGCCATAAAAACAACAACAACAACAAACAGGGCTTGAGAATATCGATTTGGGGTTTAGCTTTGGGCCACACATGGCCAAAGTATGCTATGCAATTTTAATGCTGTTAGTTACTGGATCTCAGCGATAGCATTTTCTCTTTTCTCTTGATTTATGTGGATTTAATAATTCAGGATTTATCGCACCAAACAGTCGGAATTTCTTCCCTCCCACAAACATCACACGCAGCCCACAGTCCACATACCATACCAAATATATTCACTTACTCATGTGACTGAACATACAAATTCCGTATTCCACTTGGCCGCCTGCTGTGGCTTCCGAGAAAAAAAGACAGATAGACGTGCGACAGATATGGGAAAAGACAGAGAGAGCGGAAAAGTGCAAAGAAATATCACTCATAGACATAAAAATGCAAATTAGAGCACAGATATGCTGCAGTCCAGCTGGGGGGATTCCGGCCGGCAACGTGGATGACAGCTGGTTGACCACCACCAGAGCCAACACAAAAAAGAAATTGAGAAAAAAAACCTTAACCTTCGACTCGACTAAAGTTGAAATCAAGAATGAATTATTGGACCAGGCCAGCCTACTGCAGGGCATTTACAGCCTGAGCAGATTATTAGCCAGAGTTTTTGGCGGCGGATTGGGGTGGAGGCGGCGTGAAACTTTCCTCAATTGTTTTGGGCCAACTTTTCTTGGCCTTCGGTGCTGTGGGCTTTGGGGTATAGGGCTGGCTGCCTTTTGTATTTTTTGGCCACTGTTTTGGCGCACATAATCGACACGTGCGTATTGTGATTTAGGCAGCAAAGAGGAGAACATTTTAATAATTACGTAATTGCATGAATCGATAAGCAGATTCCTTTAGAGAATGAAAAGTGGAGATGAATAGAGAGTGGAGATGCCTTGGTTTGAAAGTCTACGTGTCTAGAGATCCGGACTTTTTAAATTTTTTAAAAGTAGAAATCTTAAAAGTCTCTGGTTAAAAATAAATCCCTTAAGTTCTTTGGAAGTACCATAATTTGTCAAGATCTACATTCAACTCTAACATAGCTAAAAATAAAAAGGTTGACGCAAACAAAAATCTGACAGCATAAATTTGTCCATTAATGAATGTGGCAAAAATCCTTCCAACCCGTCAGCTTTCAAACAACAAAAGAAGCACACTGTAAAGGACTTTACCGTTACTTACTTGACTTCTTTCCGCTTTAACACTGACAAATTTAAGAAAAGAAAAAAAGAAACCAATTCGTTTTCATTTTGCTGCCGTCAATCAAAAAAGTGTCGAAAACATTTCAATAAGCAAAATGCCTGCTCACCGTTTTCACCTGTTGCCTTTGGGGGGTTAGATTGAGTGGCCATGTCAGCTGTTTAACAGTTCACCGAACACACACACACAAACACACAAGCACGTAAGAGAAGAGCAGGGGAAAGGTGGGCCAGATGAAAAGAGAGGCAGAAAACAGACGACCCCCCACGAGCATCTCAAGTGTCAAATGTGCTGAACTAGAAAAGTTCCAATGAGGTGGCAAAACGGAGAGGGAAGCGAATCAAATTGAATTTGCCTGAGGTCTGTTTCCATGCCATTCATTTACATATGTGGAGACCCACACACACGCACAATATTTGTGTGTGTGTGTGGGTGACAGAAGCTGTTAAATTTTAGGGTTTTGCGTATAAGCAATTTGCATGCCTGTGGTTGAAAGAGCTTATCATTATAATCAAGACTCAGGCAGGAAAATTCATAAAAGTATATGGGGGATTCAAATAAGTATCTTGGAATACCCTATATTATGAAATAAGCTGATAAATTTTATTCTTAAATATGGATTCGTTGATGTAAAGAGAATTATTTGAAAACCAACCAAAATAATAAACTTAAAAAAAAATTTAAATTAAATTAAATTTAAATTTTAAGAATTTTTAAAGCCAAAACCTACCCAGAATGAGCCAACCCAGAACATTATTAATTATACACAAAAAATCTATATTTTGTGACATTATAATTCAAAGACAATTTATCTGTAAGCCAATGTTCCCCTAAGGGAACACCAAAACATTAAAAATTGGAATACCCCCAACAAAAGCAAAAAGCTGACACAAACCAAAAAAAGAGAGACTGAAATTGTCCAATCACGTGTCTGGTTGAGGAAAATTTCATTATTATTACTGCTGGGACAAGCTCATTTTACGTTTATTAACTTGATAACCAAATGATTGTAAGACAAAGGGGGAGCTTCACCGCAAAATACATAGAGAGAGAGAGAGAGGATGTAAAACTCCCCATTTTTTTTTTTAGATATTTTTATTTGTAGCTGCTAACTGATAACAAAAGCCTTGATACCATAACCATGACTCCCATGTGGGCTTCTCCGTCCTCTCTCACAGTTCACCCTCTGTCCCGTGAGCATGAGGGTGCATTAATTACGTTACACTCTTTTTTTGTTTTGACTCCGTTTTACCTGCATTTGCCTGCCACTAGTCGGTTTGTTTGTCTGTCTGTTGTCCTGTCACTCGCATCACTGATTGGGCTAATCATTCTTTGGTTGCTTCTGATAAGCACTATCGGGCGCGAAAGTGCCTCCGATTATGATCAATTATTGACAGTTGATTAAAGTTTTAGCATAGTTGTAAACAGGTTCGTTTTGCTGCAGCAGGAAGAGTGACCTGTCGTATACTAAATGTAGCATACCCCAGCATCAATCAGTTCATCTGACATACAAACTCATCAGCTAGAAGAAAAAGCTAAAGCCAAACCCCATAAAGACACTTAGATAGAAAATAATTACAGCAGCGCGTAAGGGTGGAACCTCTTTGGATTCAAAAATAATTCTTAGTTTGATTATAATTAAAATTTTTGCAGTTGCCTAAGCTCAAAAAAATACTGAACCTCCTCTGAAGCGCTACGAGTGAATTTCTCGCATGAACTTTCCCCCCACCCATCCAAGAACAGACAGCACCAATGAAAATATATGAACCCATATGTGGGAGTTCCCCTTCCGTTCATTTGTGGCAGCACATTCATCAGGAGATTCCGAGAGTCTGCCAAGGCAAACCCTTTGGTCCTTTGTCACGCCTCCCTTGGACCTACCTCGGTGGCAGACAAAATCGCATAAAACTTTCAAGGCATTTTCTATTTGTATTCATTTTCCCCTTTTCTTTTCTTTTCTTTTTATTCTCATCAGTTTCATTTTGTTTTGTTTGGCTGCGGCTTTTGGTAAATTCCAACGCTTCAACAGCACAAAAAAAAACCAAAGGAAAATGAATGCGAACGGAAAACAATAAAAAATCGAAAGACTTTTATCGGCCCCAAAACTCATTTGCATAGAATTTTGCTGTGATAAACCAAAATACAATGCCAAATACACTTTTGCCCACCCACAGGCAAAATGTTTGAGTGATTTTCCTTTTAAAGATAATTTTTGTTTTGCTTTTGCTTATTTTATGCGACTTTTATACATCTCTGATGGCTCCACATAAAACTATTTAAGAAACGCCAAAGATCAACTTTTTTTATGTCTCATATGTGCGAATTTATTCTTTTTTGGTTGCACTTTGTTTTTGGGCCATCTCTGCCTTTTTATGGCCACGACTTTGTTTTTATGGGACTTCCCTGGCCAGCAAGCTGCCATCTAAATGCACAACTCGTAAATGTTAAAGTAGGAGACTCACTTCCCCAAATAGAAGTAAATTCAGGGATAAGGAGGGTAATGGATATGCTCTTTCTGGCATTTCAAATAAATCAATAGAGCAGCTGATAAATCAGAGTTCCGGTCATTGATTAGCTAACGATGCGCGTATAATTTTTCTTTTCTCCATGTTTTTGGCTTTATTCTTTGAGCAAAGCTGTGGTGGGCTACAACAAATTGAATCAAGCGAAGGGAGAGCCAAAGGAATTTAAAGGAAGCTATTAAAAGAAAGGAAAAGTTTTTCGTAATTAGGTTCAAATTACTTGTGAAGTTCTAATCCAATGTTTTTGTGGACTTTGCACAACGAATTTTGTACGAATTTTAGTTAATTTTCAACTGTTACAAAGCCTTTTACAACTTTCAATGTTTATTTTAAACCCAACATAATTAAATTACAAGATAAAAAATCAACTAGAAAATTCGAAAGAACACTTTTCACTTTTCCCGTTTATTTAAACAACTTTTAAACCACTTCCCACACTTTTTAGCCTTTAGTGCCTCAGTTAAAGAGCTACCATTAGGCATATCCGCTTCCTCAAAGCTCAGCCCATTTCAAAATTGATTTTTTATTCCAAAATGAAACAAATTTAAATATGCCAACTCACCAGCAGTTGGAGATTTCTCCTCCTTTTCTCAGCTCTCCAAAGTATCTTCTGCAGATTCTTAAATATTTAATGTGGCACGTTTCTTAAATTTTGCGTTTTACTCGTTGTCTCGCGGGTCTCGTCGTCGCACAATCACATATACATTTATTTTATATATGTACTCGTAACGTTATTATTTTCTCTTTATTTACGACATTTAATTTTATATTTATGTACTTTGATTTTCATTATGCGATGTGATGCGAATTTGTGGCACGCTTAACCTGCCCAGAAAGGATATAAGGAAAAAGGGAATTCAGGGGTAAGCCAGAAGTAGGAATATATTTCTTCTTTTTGGTGGGCCCGCGTTGCTCATATAATTTGATTTTATTTGATTTCATTTCATTTTTTGTTGCGTGTTTTTATTTCCGTTCCGTTTTAGCGGGATTTGCACGTCTGGGGGAAGTGTGGATAGGTGGTGGGAGGTGCTTATGTATGGGGCGTGACGGCTAAATTGGTGGCGCGATAAATGAATCTCAGGTTTCGTTTAAAGGAATTACAATTGGGCTCCGGAAAAACCAAAAATTGCTGAATTCTCTCCAATTAAATTGTGGAAAAATTGATTCGCTCAGCAAAACTCCAGGACAAACTCCCTCTCTCTCTCCCTCTCTTTGGCACACACTTTCGCTTTCTTACAAGCTCATACATATACACATAGCATTGGCATGTCCTTTTTCGAGGTTTCAGCAATATTAAACGAATTTAAAATGTGAAGGAATTGCAAGAACCGATGGTTTGAAGCTTAAAATACCCTGTGACAGACCTGGCAGAATTTTTTTTAATTACGTCTCCAATTCAGCGTTCAAAAATGATTTCCAGTTCATAGAAAAATTACCAAACCATCTCTGATCGATTAGTGAATTTTTGTTACAGACTTTTTTACATGAGCGAGGCTTATTCTGATCTGAAAGATTTGCTACCTTCCCAGCTCAAACTTTTGAAATTAATTATAATACCCCCTGAGAGGGAATAATAAGCAGTGCTAGCATGGGTGATTGTGGCTGTTGAGTTATTTTCGTAATAATTCTAATGTTTTCGGAAGGAGTAGCAGCTGAAGCTGCTCCTGTCCTTGCTCGCTTGAATTAATTACGCTATTTAACTGGTTTTTTTTTCTCCCAAATCGCATTATAAAGTGGTTTTTGATGTTGCCCCTTGGGAGGCTGTGGCTCAGACAGAGTCTTTTGCTGGATGCCACAGCAACTCGCTACACAAGGGAAAAGATCTCTTGGAATTTAAATTGGCCTGCTAGGCGTATGCTTAACGTTGAGTGGAATTCAAGTGAATTATAATTTGATTGCGCAAATTGCTTTGGTAAATTATTAACGTAATTTAATGTTGTTATTGTGATCACGAATTAAATAAATTAAATTAGTCCGAGTATTCTGTTGAGTAAATATCAGATGGTTTTGATTTATTAAATTAATTCCATTTTAAAATGTCATGCATTTGCTTTTAAAAATAGTCATTCAATAGAGTTTCAAAAAATTGTTTATAAGGTTTTTTTGCTGGTAAAATCTTATAAACCATCAGTATTCTTGGTTGGGAAATTCAATTTGGTCGCAGTTTCACTTAAAATAATAATGGAATGAAATGCAATATTTTTTCGTTATATTTAATAAAAATCTACATATCCAAGTGTTCTTGAAGTTGTCAGTTATCATTTAATTTAATTATTTTATTAAGATATAAAAACATTTATTTTTGAATTATTTAATAATTTCTATATTCAAGTTTTTTAATTTTTATTTTTTTTCATATTAAAGGTTATTCCTAAAATTTGTATTAGGTACTTTACAATTTTGAAATTATTTTTTATCTTGTGTTTATTTATATTTAATATTTAATTGGTTGTTAATAATTTCTCAAATAATTTCCACCGTTTCAATGAGCTCTCCCAATGCGATCACTGAGCAGGAGATTCAAATCCGGAGATAAGCGCGACGACAACCGACTGCCACGAGCTGCGAATGGTAAATGGCAGGTCTTCAACTTGTCGGGAGGATTGTCAGCAAATAGTTGCCACTACATTCGCCACTTGCTGTTGCGTTATTAAAAAACGAACACCCAACGTCAACACTGACAGCAACAGCGACAACTGAACGCACTTTGAATACGAGTATTTGCCGGGGGAAGCGGGACACGCAGTATGCGGGGTCGGAGCCAAACGAAACCACACGCAACGTGCAACAGCCGCCGACTGATGAGCCTTCATCTGCCACTGGTAGGTACGCACCCACACAGAGACACGCAGATACTCACACAGACACACCACCAGAGCGAGGTACACACACAGATACGCGGCATTTGTGATAACAGTTTTCGAAATTCGAATTCGCGCCGTCAGCTGCTGCTGCCTGTGCTGGCGATTCTGCCACTGTTTGTACACAAACATCCTCCAGCATGCCACCACCACGATTTGAGGCAAAAGCATCAGCGGCAGCGGCAGCAGCAGCAGCAGCAGTAGCAGCAGCCACCCACAACAGCAACCACATTTACCATGTTGCATGTACGTCCCATGGCGAGTCCCAAACGCATGCGCCACAAAGTAGGCAACACTTTTTGTACGAGGCACTCAAACAGGACAAGGGTGGTTTAGGTTCCGGTTCATGCGGATAATAATTTCATAATAAATTAATAATTAATAAATTAATTAATAATTTCAAAGATATGAAGCTCTGACTTTGCATAATTATAAAGAGCTGATATCTACGGATATACCAACTATTACAGCTAAAATATAAGCTAAGTGAACACCTGGAAATTCAATTTACATATTGTGCAAGATTTAATTACAATTAAATTGCTGTCACTCGCCATTTCATCCACTTTAACAGTTTCTCATTATGGAATATTTCACTTCTATGGAGTACCAATTAGATCCTTTCGATTAGCAGGTATCTTCACAGTCGTAACTGGAGCAATTCAGCTTCTACATTTTTTTATTCGGCTGCTTCTGCTGCTGCTGCTGCTTCTGCCTATGCCTTTGCTTGTGTCGCCTCAATGCCATCAGCGAAACCTCGACGCAGTGTGGAAGCTTCTTTCGCTGTTATCTTTATTGTCCTGCAATATTTCGACAGGGCGTTTGGTTGGGTGATTATGGGTTTAGTTCAGGGGGGTCGGGACATAAATTAGTCACATTTGACTTGGACGTCCCTTAACCTAAAATTGGTTAAGTTAAGTGTCTTCTTCTACCCGCCGCTCCGCCAGATCCCGGCTGTGTGAAGTTCACGTGCCCGGCCATGGTCGCTAATGAATTATAACCAAAGTTTTTAATTAAGCTCTTTATGGCGTGGCAAAAACGCTTGTCCTCGATATCACTCGTTTATTTTTGGACTTGCGTTTCTTTTGTTAGTTCCATGACAGTTTTCGGATACGTCTGAATTATGATTAGATGTGGTGCACACTTTTCTTTGTGCACATTTAGGAATTGCTTAAAATAGATGTAAAGAAAAACGTTTCTTTAAAGGAGCGTTGGGAAATGCAGTAGGAATCTTCAGTATTACATTTCTGATTTCTTTCATTGCGAAAATAATTTATTTTGATGATAATTAAAACAAAGAACTTTACAAAAGATTATAAGCAGAATGCTACTAAAGAAAATGTCAAATATTTTATTTTCATGCAAAGACTTTCTGCACAAAATTGTGCACAATTGAAATTTGGTGACATATAAAAAGGAATTCCAGCTTCTATCCTTGACCTCGCAATGCCACAAAAATATTTTTGTATTTTGCACATTGCCAACAGTTACCACAGCTTTAGATAAGCGAATGGGTGCGGATGTGCTAGCCGGGTGCTAAGGTACTGGCGAAACGAGGCAGCAGCTAACTTGCAGCAGGGGTATGATATAATACAATCAAAACAATAAATTTACATGCATATTTTTTTAATAAGAGGAATATACATATATCTTCATTCCTTATACATGATCCAAAAAAATAAAGCTGCCATAAAAAACGATTGATCTGCAAGATAGTCATAGGTATTACCTCTCGAAACATGACTCCTGTTTTAATTTGTGTAATCATAATCTACTCACAGCATCAGAGGGGAAAAAAATCCGATACGATTGCTGCCTCGTTTGGCAAGTACTTAAAATAACAAAAAACAAATGGCGCTCTGAGCGTATCTGTGCAGGAAATTGCAAAAACTAACTTAAAACTAAAAGAGAAAGGACAGGGGCAGAGAATGAATGAAACAAGAGAGATTGAGCGAAGTGTATGAATGAAAGGTATGTGTCCCATTCTCTTTCGGTTGTCCCATTCTCGTGTGTGCTCTGTGTGTCTGCACGAGCAGTAACCAAATAAGCGACTATCCTGAGCTTGCTCTCTGGAAATGCCCGATCTTATCTTAAAAGCACGTTGGCTCAATGCCAGTAAATGTTATTCCAAAATGATTTACTGCTAGCCAACTCCCGCCTGCTGCAAGGAGACGCCACAGACAGCATCCCCACAGCATTATTGTTGCCCCCATTGTGCCTGTTATCAATTGATTTTTATCAAGGACACAAAGAGAGCTCTCTGCGTCAAAGACATTCAATGCAGGAGTAATGCACTTCGCAGAAATTAAGAGAGTGCGAAAGAAGAAATACAGTTGCTCGACAATGGCATGTCCAGTAGCACTCCAGAGGGTACAGGGTGCGGGTATTCTTAACATTAAACTTCGAGGCAATGTCAACAATTGAATTTTTCACAGTACCGTGTGGAAATACTCGTAATATTGGAATATCTTTGGTCAAGTTTTCACTCGATTGACCCAATTACCCAACTCGGCTAAGCTTTCCCTCTCCCCTTTCTTGTTCATACTTCTCAATTAATAAACATAAAAAAAAAAGAGCAGCAAGGAATGAGAGTCGAAGAGAGTGAATCCAATTGCGTGTCCATCTTTTTGGTTTTAATTGAGGCTAAGCGAGCGGATGAGCGCCACAAAGAACATTAAATTGTTTATAGAGCAAGGTTACGTTCAAGTTTGTGTGAGACATTACTTTTAATGCAAAAATTGAATGAAATCGAAGGTAAGTTGTGACGTTTTCAGGCCAAATAATAAACGAAAGTGGTTCAAGGTGAGTCTGAACTGTGTAGATATTGTAAATTTATGGATATAAAAGACGGAAATTAAAAATCTAATATCATAATCAGTCATTTTTATTGCAAATATGTTTTGGATTTCAGCAATAATTCTTTTCGATGCTCTAACGGAAAAGAAATGCTTCAGTTCATTAAAATATATATAGAAAATTTAATACAATACATATTTCATATTTCGAAATCCGCGCGTAAGGCAGGACTCTGGAAAGCTGCCTGCTACAATGTTGCGCATGTGGAATCTCCGTATTAATTAATTATGCTGCGGAGAAATGATGAAAAAAAAAATTGTAATTCAATATTTATATGACAGCCGTTTACAAGCATATATTCATTTAGAAACTAAACGCTATTTAGCATGATTCCATTTAATTTTTAAATTTTAATTAATTTAATTAAATTCGTGCAAGCGTTGTGTGGCATTTCTTTGTTTTCCAAATGCGTTCGCACCGAAATCCTCTCTCAGAACTCATGCTTGAAGCGCAAAAATGAGTCGGAGAGCGCAAGAATAACTGGTAAAAATTACGAATCCGTGGGGGTGGTACAGTGGGATATAAATGTTTGATGTTTGTTAAACGGCCCCAATATATTCAGCGGGCGGGCCAAGAACGAAACAACACACAAATAAAGCCGAATAATATCACAAAAAGTAGTTGAAATAAAAATCCAAAAATAACCGTATTCATTCCTCTTCCATCGTTCGTTTCGTGTGCTGTAGCTTTAAGGTGATTTGTCTTAAATAAAATGAATATATAACAAATTACAGCTGTGCGCGTGCCCAATCGTCAATACCTACCTCTGTACATATACATAAACAAATTGTGTTATCAGCAGCATTGATTGCAGTTGGCGCCACATGGACGCCACATTAATCTGGAAACATATACATACAATATTTTTAAAATATTGCATTACCTGCTAAGCAATAAAAAAAAAAATGTGAGAAAGAGAAACATAAACAAAAAGCGTGGAAAGGCAGCGCTGCCGTGGCCGCTGCTAGCGCTATCAATGCGCCGGGCCGGTGTGGCCGCTACCTGATAAAACAATTAACAATGAACACTCTCTCGCTCTCTCCGGAATGCAGCAGCAACAACAGCTCATTATCAAGTCAAACTTGTTGAGCGGGTTAAAGGAAAGCAATCATTAAAGCAACAAAAGCAGCGGCAGCACGCAGAAACTAAACCAAACCAATTTTTAGTGTTCTGCCCATAGCGACGTCGGCAGAACAGCCGCAGCACTGCCACTGACCTTTATTTGACTTTTAGCTGCTTCTACCGACGCCGCCGCCGTTCTGGCAATGAAAAAAAAAAAACAAAAAACAACAAGAATGGGAGGCCAACTTCGGGTGTCGAATCTCGTGATACCCTCACCCTAACAATTAAAGAGGCTGCACTGATAGATAGGCAGATCCAAAGTATATCCATCAGCATAATGCCCAATGGGTGATGACTCTGGTATACCCTCTGCCAGGGTATCGGACAATTTCTTTCGGGCCTCTGCTGCGACAGACACGACACTTAAGGTTGGTTCTGCTCTTCCTCCTTTTGTGGCTGTTATTTTCGGAGTTTTGTCGCTGCAGGCAGAGGCTAGAGCAGAGGGAGACTATTCGGAGCCGCGCGTGTGTTTGTGTGATGCAAGAACGAGGGAGACAGTGCTCTAATTGAATAATTGAATAAAAATAAAAGTGTAAGAAATCGGTCCGTTCAATTGCCAAGAAAAGTGAGAGAAATTGTTCTGCTATTTGCTATCACTCCCCCACATTGTCTTGCTATTTGCACTTTTACTTTTCGGCATGTGTGTACCTGCCTCTGCCTCTCCCATCTCTGCGTTAATTGCTTTTCCTTATACCCGCATATCCGTGTTTTCAAACAAATTCTGAGCTGCAAGCAAATAAATATCCGAGAGAGCGAGAAACGAGGAGAAAGAAGATAATAAAAAGTATAAATACCATAGCTATTTTTAATAGAATAATAATTATATGTTTGGACTGCCTTTGCTACTATTTCAACTAGTGAGAGGAGGGTTTAAAGAGTAAGGAGTGATAAAAGATATAAACCAAGTGATTAAAATAGTGTGGAAAGTCCTTGTGCCGACCAAAAGATCGGATCACTATCGGAAACATACTTTGTAAATGTCCAATCCTGTCCGATCGGCTGGGAAGCTAATCAAACAAACTCAAGATTAGCTAAAATCTCAAGATGTAGTTTTCATTGGTACATATTTGTATGTGTATGTATATTTGTATGTACATACATATGTGCGTATGTAGCTTGTGCACATAAGGCAGGTTTGGTCTTGGCCAAGGTCATTCAAAAAATGGTCTTTTAATTTGGAAATGAAAAATAAATATAAATTTATGCGTAGAGTTTCTATATTCTCCATAATTCGAATTTCCCTAAAGACTTATAGAATGAATTGTTCAGCTATTCATATTGATTCATGTGAACAAATATGTATGTATGTTTGCATTCAATCGTTAAAAAACATTTGAGCAATAAAGCTCTTTGAATCCCTATAAAATAGATTTCTTCAATAGGAGAGAACGAAAGTAATGTCTCGAATAGAAAACTCATTTTAAAATCTTTGATATAAGGTGAAATGAATGGCCCGAGGCACTGAAGCTCGAATGTTAAGGCGGAACAACTACACACCTATCGATGTTTAATTGCCTATAAAATGAAAAAAAAATTATAAATATAAATATATAATAATAATACTTATAAATATAAACATATTTTAAATGGATAATCATTGATATGTGCATCGGATTAATTTCACTTGTGAGCGTTGAAAAATCTCCGCACTGAAACCGCATAGATCTGCGGGCCTTGAAACTCTCTGCTCATGATTATCGAATTGCCATCGGGCGTTTTGTTGCCCCTCTCCGCGATTCAGTGTGTCGCCATCAATGAAAACGTGTGGCGTTTTCTCGTGTCTCTTGCCTTTAGTATATGCAAAGAAGCAAGGAAAATTGGCAAACTCATGGCGGACCGATGATGCCGACCATTTCCTGCATCTAAAAATACAGGCCCAAATTTGTATACATACTCAGATGTGCAGGCCAGGCAGTCCAATGTACAGGCAAACAAATGGCTGAGCATACAGCCGGTGAGTGTCAGGGACAGAGACGATGTCGCAGAGCTGTGCCGTGCCGTGCCCAGCCAGGCCTTATCGGTAACGGGGCCGTGAAATGCAGCAACGATTGCAGCTCGCTGCGTGATGATGCAACTGGCCGGCCAGGACAGCAAGCAGCAAGCAGCATGAACATGGGAAGGGGCCAGACCCAGCAGAGGCAGCCTACGGGAGCGATAAGGCGTCGCAGCGTTCGAAGCGCGGCTTGTAATGTGGGTCAAGCCGGTGGCTAAAATTAGTTGACACTATCAGTTCGCAACGAGAGCCTCAGCGGAGAGGTTCGGACATTCCAGTTCTCAGTTCTCAGTTCTCCGATTAGCCCCGATTAGCCTCGAACTGAGCCGATCCCGCGCAAGAGCATATCAAGAGCAAGATGCGACGCCAAATGTCCTACCGGTTTGAAGATCAAGACGACTCCTCATATGGCTTAAGGGTTATATACATATATGCCTGATACTTAATACACCCAATCGAACAATCCAAAACTAATTTTACCTTCAAATGACTCTTTGCAGATGAATCGGCGCTTTTCGAGAGTGGAGTCCGGCGTGGACCTGAAGGATTACTTCGATCGCGGCGATATTGCGTCGCGCGAGAACCGCTGGAACTTTGAGGTGGCATGGGAGGTGGCCAACAAAGTGGGCGGCATTTACACAGTCATCCGGTCCAAGGCGTATGTGTCCACCGAGGAGATGGGCGAACAGCTGTGCATGATGGGGCCCTACAAGGAGGTCTGCGCCCGCACCGAAATGGAGGAAATGGAATTTCCGCGCGGCAATCCCCTGCTCGATGCCGTCAACTCGATGCGCTCGCGCGGCTACAAGATCCACACCGGTCGCTGGCTGGTGGACGGCAATCCGCAGCTCATTCTGTTCGACATTGGCTCCGCGGCCTGGAAGCTGGACCAGTTCAAGTCGGAGATGTGGGAGAAGTGTCACATTGGCATACCCCATCTGGATATCGAGACGAACGATGCCATCATACTGGGCTTCATGATCGCCGAGTTTCTCGAGGAGTTCCGCAACTTTGCCATCAGATACTCGCAGAATCATGACCTAAATGCGCCCCGAATTGTGGCCCATTTCCATGAGTGGCAGGCCGGCGTGGCGCTGATTATGCTGCGCACACGACAGGTGGAAATAGCCACCGTGTTCACCACCCATGCCACCCTGCTCGGTCGCTACTTGTGCGCTGGCAATACGGATTTCTACAACAACATGGACAAGTTCGATGTGGACGAGGAGGCGGGCAAGCGGCAGATCTACCATCGATACTGTTTGGAGCGTGGCGCCACGCATCTGGCGCATGTGTTCACCACCGTCTCGGAGATCACGGGCTTCGAGTCGGAGCATCTGCTCAAGCGCAAGCCGGACATTATCACGCCCAACGGTCTCAATGTGAAGAAGTTCTCGGCCATACACGAGTTCCAGAACATGCACGCCGTCGCCAAGGAGAAGATCAACGAATTTGTGCGCGGTCATTTCTATGGGTGAGTAGAGCTGCAGCCCGCCACCCCTTTAGTCTACTGAACTACACTCAAGTTTGTGCTCCTTTTCAGCCATATGGACTTCGATCTGGACAAGACAATGTATTTCTTTATTGCCGGCCGCTACGAGTTCAGCAACAAGGGCGCCGACATCTTCATTGAGGCTCTGGCGCGTCTGAATGCCATGCTGAAGTACGAGCGACCCGACACCACTGTGGTGGCGTTCCTTATCTTTCCCGCCAAGACGAACAACTTCAATGTGGACTCGCTGCGTGGCCATGCGGTGATCAAGCAGCTGCGTGACACCATCAACAATGTGCAGCAGGCGGTCGGCAAGCGCATGTTCGACACCTGCCTCAAGGGCCTGCTGCCCAATGCGGCTGACCTGCTGGAGAAGGATGATGTGGTGAAGATCAAGCGTTGCATGTACGCCATGCAGCGCGACTCAATGCCGCCGGTTACCACACACAATGTGGCCGATGACTGGAACGATCCGGTGTTGGCCTCCATTCGTCGCTGTCATCTCTTCAATTCGGTTAACGATCGCGTCAAGATGGTCTTCCATCCAGAGTTCCTAACCCCGACCAATCCGCTGTTTGGCATCGATTACGAGGAGTTTGTGCGCGGCTGCCATTTGGGCGTATTTCCCTCATACTACGAGCCCTGGGGATACACGCCCGCCGAGTGCACGGTCATGGGCATACCCAGTGTGACGACGAATCTGTCTGGCTTCGGCTGCTTCATGCAGGAGCACATCAGCGATCCCAAGTCGTATGGCATCTACATTGTCGATCGTCGCTACATCGGCCTCGAGGACAGTATCCAGCAGTTGTCCAGCTTCATGATGGACTTCTCGCGTCTGAATCGCCGCCAGCGTATCATACAGCGCAATCGCACGGAGCGTCTCAGCGATTTGCTCGACTGGCGTACCCTGGGCATTGTATGCAATCACTTCTGACAGCTCTTACAGCTTCCAATACAGTTAACAATTAATTATCTCTCTCTCTCTATGTAATTTGCAGTACTACAGACAGGCCAGGGTCAAGGCCTTGCAGGCCGTCTATCCGGACTATGTGGATGAGTCAGCCTATGGCTCACGCAACAATCTGGTGTTCTCGCGGCCACAGAGTGAACCGCCCAGCCCCACCATCATCGCGTAAGTGCAATTCAGTTAACTGCAGAACATTAAATATTTATGTAACATTTCTATGCTCGTTGTCCCATAGGCCACACTACACCGGCGCCGTCTGTGCATGGCTCCGAGGATGAGGACTCCGTGGACGAGGAGACCGAACTCAAGGAATTGGGCATCAAGTAAATGCTTTGTGGACCATCAAAATTTAGTGACGAACAAACCAACAACAAAAACAAAAACAACAACAACAAAATCACATACGCGCAATATTACCATAAGTTCTAGTAATTTCGTTTCATCAATTTGTTCTTTTAGTGGGCGAAAAATTACGGTTGGAGCGGCCGGCTCCCCATTTTTTAACTATACGAAAAACCAACTACCTTTATATGCAACATGCCACATGCAACATGCAAGAGCAAAATGTCTTTAAATCAAAGTAAAACAAATTCATATGATATATAAATATATTTAGATCGCTAGCAACTGTTAACCAGAACCATTAAAGCATGAGGAAGTACATTTTATTAAACGTTGTTTAGTCTATAAGCAGAAACCACCAGGCCCTAACACCCGCCCGCCCTGTGTGGCCTATGCCCAGTGCTCTACACCCTGCCTAACAAATAAATCGTTATTTAAAGTATATACACGACAGAGCCCGATGGAGTATTTAATTTATTTGTATTTTATTACGTACATGCTCGTATATTAGCGGGGTATTTGCATGGGAACAATTTGCTGAGATTTTTTAAGTCCAGTCCCCTGACGTGATAAACACAAAATCAATCACAAATCAATGCTCTTATACCTATATACTTAGAGGTTGTTATCTTTCATATTCAGACATATTTGACTATATGTTTTGCACACGAACTGAACATAGGACTGCATTGAAGGAACTGAATCAATGCCATATCAATATCGTGTAGTTTTTGACATCCATCAGCTCTGTAATCCATATTCTTTGGCTGCACTTTATGAGTAGCGGGTCTAATTATATTTGCCAATCTAATCAATGGACTAACGTTATTGATAAAGGCAGGGAAAGTCCCTTTTTTAAATATTAAATACTATAGTATCAAAATCTTGTATGCGCCTTTAAAACTCTTTTTTGGAATGCAGCTTTATTAAGAAACAAATTATTATGCGACAAAATATGAATACATTATGGCAGATAAAATCGTAGAAATATGGCAGGGCATGGATCGTTCAGGATCGTTTAGAGAGAGAGAGAGAGAGAGAGGGAGAAAGAGAGGAGATTAAGAGCGGAAGGCGACAATTTTGAGTATAATTAAAAAATTAGTTTGCAGTTTAGTTTCGTTTGCTGTAGGAGGATCTCTTAAACTCGCGATTATATTGACGCCGGCGACGTCGTCGCTGGACCGGCACGCCGTAACCATCGCCATCCTCATCCGTGTAATCAGTGACGGGGTCCTGTTCCTGTGCTGGCAGATCGGGTTGACTGGAACTGCTATCTGTGAGCTTGCCGTTGCCATCGGCGCCATTGAGGCAATCGTCAATGTTGTCGCTTTCGCACAGCACCCAATCATCGTGGGTTGGGGCATCGTCGCTGGGCTCCGCTCTAGATCCGTCGTAGATGTTGTTGTTGTTGCTGTTGCTGTTGCTGCAGCCGCCGATGCCGCAGTTGGGCAGGGGCAGGGGCTGGGGCTGGGGGGTGCAAATGGCGCGTATTGTGGGTACGGATTGAATGGCATGGCGTAGGGAGCGTAGTACTGCGGCTGCAGGGGCGCTGCATAGCCCTGGAAGCAGCCCGAGCACTGGACGGGCAGTCCGCTCTGTAGAATATAGCCGTACGGCAGATTGAGGCACTGCTGGCAGCTGGAACGCTTCACCCGCTGTCCTTGAGCCTGGGCCTGGCCGCCGCCGCCGCAGCTGACATAGGGCCAGGAGTTGCCCAGGTAGCGGCAGGGACCAGCCGCACCGGGATACTCGTTGCGATGCACGGACTTGCGCCGACGCGGCACATACTCGATGGTCTCGTGGCACTTGGTGGGCTCATCCGCATCGCACTGCACCACGAGCTTGGCCAGCATCACTCGGGCCTGACACCGCTCGCCACAGACTCGCTGGCGACTCCACTCCTGGCAGTCGCGCGACTCCTTGCGCTCGCAGTCGCGCGACCGCCGCACCACAAAGCAGCAGGAGCCCTGATCGTTGTAGCCCAAGCCGAAGCGTCCCCCCACCTGGGAGACATTCTGCTGCACCTGCACATTCACCTCGTTGCGGTTCTTGATGTCGTGCTGGATGATGTTGTTGATCTCGTTCGTCAGGCGTATGATGTTGGTGGTGTTGATGGGCGTCTGGGCGGGGGCCAGCACATCCGTGTCGTTGACGCCCTGCACCATCAGCGGCTTGTCGTACAGCTCCGGGCACAGCGGACACTCGTCCTGGCAGTCACCGTCCCCGCCACACACGTCCAGGCACTTGCCCCGATTCGCCTGGCACTCCTCGTAGTCGCGCAGCGTCGGCTGCCCATAGTTCTGCAGCGGAGTGTGCACCACAATTGTGTTGTTCGTTGCCTGGACCGCATCCTCCGCATGGACTGTGACGAGCAGCAGGAGCAGCCAGCCAATCGTTGACCGCGTTAGCTGCACACAAATAAATGCAGATTAAATTTGGCTCAAACATGCGATTGATTTAATCTGTGGGAGTGCAGCAAATAATTATATTCCATTCCAGAAATTGATTTAATATTTTTTATTGTTAATTTAATAATAGATCCTTGAAAACTTCAGAATCGCAGGCTACAAGCAGATCAAATTATATGTATCTGGCTATCATTTATGGCTACTACTGGGAGTCTACTTTCAGACTTGTAAAAATTCTATTTCTATGATTTATTTTTATTTATTTATTATTTATTTATTTTATTTATTAGTACCCAAACTCAGTCTATCTGCCATGACCAGCTGATGTGTCATAATTTAGCTCTGTATTGGTACTGGACTCTATCCATATGGGCACAAGAACTGAGTGACCTAATGCCCAATGACGAGTCCAGCAGTCCAAAGACATCCAGCAAAAATCAGTGGGGAGTCATATGTTGTACTGAAGTGTGTGTCATAGTGGGTCATTGAAAGTTGGTAAACCATGGAAGACCCGGTGCAAAATGTGGCGTTTCAAATGGCGTTAAATATGCCAAGTTATTAAACTTTGGAAGCTCTTATTCTAATTATCCTAATTCGGTAGTTTCTGCAGCGATAAGACTGCAGACATTGTAGAAACAGTTTTGCCAACTATTTATTGGCATCATAAGGCGGTTAATACGTCTTATCAGTTCAGATCTTGGCAACGCACAGTGGTCGATTCTGCCAATTTGGCAGGCAATAAATGAAAAAAATTTCGAATCTGGTTACTTTTTTTTACGTTTTGGAAAGTAAAAATCCCACTGATATTATTTATTTATTTTTCCTATAGATAGTCCAGTACCTGCACGCGCTTGAATCGCCGAAAACTTTTCTGTTCATACCTTAGTACATTTTACCGACTTTTTATGGCTTTTGGAAAAGCAAAATAAATCTTAATGTTTTGCGATTTGTATTGAACTTACCATCCATTTTGATCATAGTTGGTACGTATTCAATAAAAAATATGTGTGTGTGTCCTGTGCTTGCATGTATTAATGGTAAATCGTTGTAGAACTTAACATTTCCTTTAGTTACCCTTTAGCTACCCGACACTGGCATGGAATAGATCTTTTGACATCCGCCCCCATTCGCCTTCAATCTTTTTCCCTTTATGAAACCAGGCTTTTTTGAATCTTTTGTGTTGAAACAAATTGCAACTACATACGTGCCACACGTTAATTTATTTGATTTTATAGGGAAAATGCCAGTGTCAAAAAGCACGCTTTTCGCGATGTTTCGTAAGGAAAACTGAGTAAGAAAAAAAGCTAAAGCGAGCTGGATCCATGTTTTCACTCAATTAATTGATAACCTAGCCTTGATCAAGGAAAACACGAACTTTTTCTATGGGCAGAAATGGTTTGAAGATTTTTAGCGAAGAATAAAATTTTTAAAACTGGTATTTTGCCTTTCAGAGGAGCTTTCACAGCAGAAATTTAAAGAACTTGCTATTTTGAAAAGATAGACTAAAAATGTTAATTTAGCACCTGATTACCTTACTTTTGGATAATATACAAGCATTGAAATGCAAACCTGGATTTGGTGCATACCTTCCACTAAATTTTGTCTGGGAGAACCGCAGAAAGTGCAAGAAAAAATATATCTTGGACAGGTTGCTTGGGTCGTTAGGACCGCTCATTAAAATATTGGAGACTTTGGAGCTAAATTGTTACCAAACCTAGGTATGGAAAAAATGAACAAATCTGATAGATCTGATGGGACCCGAGAGTTATTTAATTGAAGTAGTTTCGTAGTTGCTAATCCTCCAATTCGCCCTGATGCTCCATGTTGCGATTGTTCTCTGGAATTTACAGTCAGGCACTGAACACTACAGACTCTTAAGTGCCCTCTCCAGTATAGACTCTGGCACTCAGACACGGAAATGTGGGTAGAAACGCGCTCTCTGCGGTACACCCGAGACATAGTTTGGAAGGGCACCACTCCAGGATGTACAGAGTTGGTATTCACCAATTTACAAACAGTACAGTATCAGAATTCCGCTGGGGAATCACGTTAGAAAATTCCCGGAAATTACCCCTTCATACGTCATACTCTTCTCACATTCTGGTCACATCGAACGCGCCTTCGTCACCCTCGGTAGGTTCCCCCCAATGATTTATAAGCCGTGAGTTATTTCACCACATCACAAAAACACTGAGAGCCAATTCGATCCGATTATGAAATGAATGGTGGCAGCAACGTAAATAGATTCGGCAAATTGGCAGTTGCAATAAAATGGCAGCTCGGCTGGCTCTCTATTTCGCTCCAAAATGTTTATTACTCACCTTGGTCTGTGACATGTTTGGAGTGGTTCTTCTGCTCTTTCGCTTTCTGCGTGCGTTGCTGCCAAATGGGTAAACTGAACTGCAATAGCAGCCGTTTTTTACTTGGCGCTACTTCCTACTCCATGCGTGCAAGATAGCGCTAGATAACATTATCAATGAATTGATTATTGGCACAAAGCTTTCACTCAACCATTCACAGTCACTCAGAATTTCATCGCTCATTCTCGTACGAGTATTCCACACGCGAAAACTTTAATCACACGGGAATGTTGATCCCAAGATTATTATTATATTAATTGCCTGGTGACAACGTTTGGGTCATTAGTTTTTTGGTAATATTAAGGGGATTCCTCGAGTTGAAGTAGAAGAATTCTGTGCATAAGAGTAGCAAGCACTTTTCACTGTAACGTTACACAGCCAAACCGAAACCTTATCAAACTCCACCCCCTATAGCCGCCAGCCCCTCAACAACGCTCTCTTCGTCTTCGTCGTTGGCCTTTCCTATATTTCTTTAGCCGCTTTGTTTGCTTCTTTTGCTGTCACAAAAGGTAGCGAGCTTTTAGACGTCCATCATCTGGCTTTAATATTTATCCAATCGATTGGTGTTGCTAGCTTTTTGTTTGCGATATCACAGCCTTCCAACTGGCAGGCAAATAATGTTCGACTGGGCCTAAAATGCTGAGCAGATAAAAATTAAGAAATATACTCTAATTTCATGATGTCGCAGGCGCTTTATTCTGTATCCGAATTAAGGTGCTATCAGCCAGGAAATTCCATGCGATTCGAATGATTTTAATAGCTGAGGCTTTATTTTTGTAGACAAATTATACTCATGCGAAATATGATAATGTATGGGGCACATGGGTAATATTCTGCGGCATATTCTGCCTCACTGGAACCAGCCATCCTCCTGACGGCATCCGATCTGGCCGGGATACTGGTCACAGTATTGTGCCTGATCGTAGAAGGCGCAGCCATGTCCGCTGCACCGATAATTGTAGCAGTACGTGGAGCAGGTGCTCACATCGCCCAATCCACAGCCGCTGCAATCGTAGTAATCTGCGAATAGGTTCAAATAAAAACCAAACAATTAGATTTCAGCCTGGAAACCAGCTGCAGAAGGCAGCGCACACTTCAAGGCACTTTTATACGAATCGAATGTGTCCGTTCGCTTACGGGAAATTGGTACAGCGAATCAGTGACCTTCGTTCGAGTGTGGCCAAAGGCAATCAGGCTACGGCTACAGCAAACCCCAAAGAGACGGTTCATTGCTGCAGCTGGGACTGTGTTTTATTTTTGAACTTACTCGGAGTCTGTTGGCAGGATCCAGTGGCCTGGCACGCCGCCTGTCCCTGTCCCCAGTTCGGGGGCATGGCAAGCATCTGGTTGTTGTTCGAGGTCCAGCTGGTGAGCTGCGCGGGTGCCAGCACCATTTTGTTGGCCTGGCAGAAGCTGCCGCACTGCTGCTGGCTGCGGCTGGCACATTTGTAGCCACCCATGCCACCCATGGCTGGGGCGCTGCAGATGCGCGGAGCAATGACATTGCAGCATGGTCCGGGTGCTGGTCTGGGCGGTGCAGGCACCTCCTCCTCCACCACATCGTAGTCATGCTCATCGTAGTCAGGGCCGGGTATCGAGATGGGGGCATCCACATTCACGTTGTTCACGTTGTTCGTGACCAATTGGCCCGTTGCCTTGCTGTGCACCGTCGTCTCCAGGTGAACGGGTCCCAGCTCCGTAATCTTGGGTCTCTCGCATCGCAGGCCCGTCCACACATAGCCCGGAGTGCAGCGGGTCTGCATGCAGCGGCCATTCACATAGCGGCCTGTCCCACAGTACACCAGGCGACAGACGCCCTTCACCAGGATCGTTCCCGGCGGACACTGCATGATGGGGGCAGGCGGTGGCGTGGTTGTGGGCACAGGTGTTGGATACGTGGGTGGTGGGTAGGTGGGAGTTGGCGCGTAGGTGGGAGGAGGATTGGTGGGAGGAGCATGAGTGGGTTGGGTGTAAATTGGAGGTGGGTCGGTGGGAGGAACTGCCGGAGGGCTGGGCATAGGCTGAACAGGTGTATTTGGGCAGGGGCTGGGCTGGACGGGCGTATTGGGGTAAGGATACACCGGTGTATTGGGGCAAGGACTCGGCTGGATAGGAGCAGTGGGGTAAGGACTCGGCTGAATTGGTGTATTGGGGCAAGGACTCGGCTGGATAGGAGCAGTGGGGTAAGGACTCGGCTGAATTGGTGTATTGGGGCAAGGACTTGGTTGAACGGGCGTATTGGGGCAAGGACTCGGCTGCACTGGTGTATTGGGGCAAGGACTCGGCTGAATTGGTGTATTGGGGCAAGGACTTGGTTGGACGGGCGTATTGGGGCAAGGACTCGGCTGGATAGGAGCAGTGGGGTAAGGACTCGGCTGCACTGGTGTATTGGGGCAAGGACTTGGTTGAACGGGCGTATTGGGGCAAGGACTCGGCTGGATAGGAGCAGTGGGGCAAGGACTCGGCTGAATTGGAGTATTGGGGCAAGGACTCGGCTGCACAGAGCTCCCCGGAGTCTGAGCTGCGTTGCCGCATCCTGCCACAGTTTGTCCGTAGCTGCCGCCAGTGAAAACATTCACCACGGTGCTGCCCCCGGATTGCACCTGACCTGTGAATATGCGGCGGGTTAGCGATGGCCCACCAATGAGGAGGAGAAACGTTGAATCGACTCACCAGTTCCACAGGGATTGGCGGGTTGCAGGACACAGGGATTGGGACTCGCAGCGACATTGACTGTCGGCGGGCACGGTGCACCATTCGCGATAACCTCCGGCGGAAGATGAAGCAGCAGCAGCAGCGGCGGCAGGCAGGAGAAAAGCACTTGGGTGGCCGACATACCGACTGGAACTGATGCGGGACGGCGATCTCCAGCTAATACCTCAACAGTGTCGCCGCAATCTGGACGGGGACGTGGACCTTCACCTGCACCGCTGCCATCGGGTCGCGGGGGTTATCGCGACGCCGACAATTATGTTCCTGGCCTTACGTGTGCGCCGCCACTGTGTGGCGATTTCTCGTTGGATTAGTCGCGTCTTGGATTCAGACAGCGGAGCATCGACACACGCGCCGACAGCCGACAGTTGCGGATCAGAAATCAAACATTTTCAATATGCTGACGACATCGCACCGCTGGATGTGGTGCTGGATGTTTGTTTTGGCAATCTACGGAAGTGCTCACAATTACGCGCTGGGCTATTATCAGACAGCCGATGCGGTAAGCTTGGGGCACATTTCAATTATAGATTGCTTTGCCATTTAGACTTTGTGATTCCCCCTTCCTAGGTCGACTGTCCGCCCGGATATCAGAACGTCAATGGCTATTGCTACAGCTCATTGTATTGTCCTGCGGGTAAGAGCTCTGTTTGGGGGCGGTTCAATTTCCAGCTACATTTACACTTTTGTGTCTCTCTTTTTGCAGGCTACTACTTGGGCACAGATGGACAGTGTTACGCGCACAATGCGTTGGTATGTCCCACGGGTGAGTAGTCGCTCTGGCCATGAAGTAGCTGCAAATGTGGTGGAAACACCGCAATACAGAAACTTATCTGTGCAACTAGAGTCAAGCATCATTGTGCACACGCAATGTATGCTGTTCACGGTCATTCTCTTTGAAGCAGTTCGCTTGTGCGTGTCGAGCATCAGCGTTTGGAATTGTTGAGCGCAAGGATGGATGCTGTGGATGGAGCGAAAACTTTGACTTTTATATATATTGGATTTCTCCATTTCAGGCTACTACCTGAGCACGGATGGAAAGTGTTATTTGAAGGATCCGCTGCCCTGTCCGTTTGAATCTACAACAGCCACTGCGCCGGTCACAACCCCCCAACCCACTCCAGTCACAACACAACCCACCACGACAACAACAACAACGACAACCACAGAACGTACCACCACGACGACAACAACAACAACAGAGCCACCACCACCACCACCACCACCTGAGGTGCCACCTCCAGTGGAACTTGCACGCTGTCCGCCCGGCTCCATCTTCTACGAGGAGCAATGCCGCCGGATTGTCTGCTCGGAGGGTGAGTATTACGCGGGACGATGCCTGTCGCCGGCCTGTCCACCGGGCACCGTGTGGCATGGCAGAAGCTGCCAGGAGCCGGGCTATATAACCACCATACTGGAGATCGACAATGTGATCCGGAACCAGCACGAGTATACGCTGGCCACCGAGAACATCAATCGTGTGGAGTACGCCACACTGCGGCCCTACGACGAGGCGTACGACAAGAGCTACGAAGCCACCACCACGAGGCACGAGGAAGCCAACGATGTGCCGACAACCACTAAGCGTCCATGGATGTATCCCAGTGGGCGGACTACGCCAACGACGCTGCGGCCAGCGACACCGGATGTGTTTCCGGGCCGGAATCCACCGCCGGGCTGCTGTGTGGTGAAGAGTCCGCGGATCTGCATCAACTACGCACCCAACTGGGTCTGCTCCAGCCGGGAGCGCAAGCTGTGCGATCCGCGGGTGTGCACCCATCCGGTGATCTACCTCAAGCCGCCGCAGATTGTCGAGAGCGAGAACCGACGACGCCTCGTGATGCCGCCCAATCCGCCGCTGCAGGCCTGCAGCACGCCCGAGTGCAAGGAGAGCGGTGAGCGGAGCTCCCAGGAACCTCCTTCAATCATTCACTCATTCGATTCGAATTGCAGAATTCCTGGACTGCTCCGGCTGCAAGCACAACCAGCGGGACAAGTGCTCGGCGGGCTGCTATAGCTACTACTGTCCCAACGGCAGCTGTGCCTTCATGAACTCGCAGGACTACTGCGGCATCTATCCCAGCGGATTCGGCTGCAATGTGGACGATGGCTGCATCTGGGACTGGTGCCACAAGAAGTGCTACTGATGCATCAGCGTAAATCCAAATAAATGACTTTATTAATGAAATAAGAAATCAATTGTCGGAGCAAATAAAATACTCAAATTGTTTCTTTTTTATTAAATTATATTCTTATTATATTTATTTATATTTATTGTGCTGTCAGCTTACATAATTTGCAAACATTTTTTTGCGTTTGAATCATTCTCAGCTGTTAGCTTGTAACGGTCCCCGTTCGGCTGCGAGCTAGTTCGATTGCACGTCGAGCCAGCGAACTAGTTCGATGCGCCGCCAGTTCAAATCGAACCGGTGGCGCTCCGGCTGTGGTTCCGGTCCAGCCGGTTGCGGTTCGTGGACTCCACGAATCAACGGGGCTTTTTAGTCGTACCGACCAAGTAATCCAACGCACTCCACTCACTCGTCGTCGCGTCTCACGAACAGCTGCTAAAACGGACGGCTGTGCGCGCGCTTTGGCTTTCGTTTCGGTCCTCTGTGTGTTTTTGCGTGTCTTTGCGTGTCGGTAGAAAAAAACGAAAACGAAAAGCAAAGCGAAGTGTGTTTGAAATAAACGCCGCGACGCGACGTGTGTTGGCCTGTGTTTGCAAATACAAAAGTAAAAACATCAAAAAGTGTCGTCGCAGCAGAGGCGGAAACAACGGCGGCAGCGGCAGCAACAAAAGCAACAACGACAACAACAAGAGTGCATTGATTGCATTTCTGCCCGCCCCAACGCCAGCCCACTGCACAAACGTCATCCACGCCTAATTGTTGTTGCGCTCGCCGCGGCGGCGGCGTCTTCTTGAAGGTGGAACCGACTGTGAGAGAGGTACGCGTCATGCATTATGAGTGTGTGTGTGTGTGTGTATGAATTTGAGCGACTGTGTGCCGTATGCAGTAATAATATTTAATAAACAAAATTGTGCCCCCCCTTCCTTGCATTGCATAAAAAGAATTGTTTATGCAAATGGATCTATCTAGATAAATTAAATGATTCTCTCTGTTTCTCACTCGTTCTGTTTTCACCTCTCCCTTGCTGACTGGCTGACTGTCTGTCTGTCTGTCTGTCTGCCTGTTTTGTTCTACCCTTTCCATAGTGTTAATTGAAAGAAAAACGACAACAAAAATCAACAACAAACTTCCTGTGCTTTCTCCCTCTCCCTGTCCTCTGTACCCCTCATAACTGTTGCCAGTTGCCGTCTCTTTTCCCGGTTGCCGCAGACAACAAGAGCATTATTGTGGCAGTGGCAGTGCCCAGCCCCCGTCTCACCCTTCACCCATCTCCATTCCGCCCACGCACACACAAAACTTTAGCATTGGTTCGTGGGGTGGGGGAAGGGGTTTACGTGTGTGTGCGTGTGCATGTGTGGTGGTAAGAAAGTTTTTTGTATTTGCTTTTGTGATTTTTGCTGCCATTCAGCTGCCCTGCTGCTGCTCTCTCTCTCTCTCCCTCCCTCTCTCTGATTCTCTCTCTGTTTGATATTTGCCAGAAGAGTGCGGAAGTGCAGGGGGGCGGGGGCGAGTCGGGGAGTCGTTGAAGTTTTTAGTGCTGCATTCTATACTCTCCACTCTCCACTTTCCACCTCTTCTAACATCTTTCGCCGACGGCTCCAGTGGGAGCTTTTATAACGTGTGTGTGTGTGTGTGAGTTTGTGCTATTATTAAACCCCCTCCCTCCCCCCACTACACACACACACACAACTATGTTGTTGTGTATGTGTGCGAGGCGTTGGCGTTTTGACCAGAAGCTGAGGCTGAGCAAGAGAAATAATAAGCAGCAGCAGCAGAAGTTCTGTGCAACAAAAGGGCGAGGGAAGAGGTAGAAGGAGCGAGTGAGTGGGAGTGGGAGAGAGCATGCACAGACTGTGGAAGAGGGGCGAGCAAGGGAGTGCAAGGGCAGTGCAGTTAATAAATAAATCAAATGTAACATAAAAATAATATATGTTTGGAAATCAACAAACATGCAGCAGAAAAGAAAAGGAATTTTTACGTTCAATCTTTCGTACAAATCCCCACCGCACCCCCTCCGCACAGACTCCCTGTAATAAACCGTTTTACGATCTTCTCCTCTGCGCTCCCCTTCTGACTCTCACCATCTCCTACGCCCTTTCCCACTTGTTGTTTTTATGACAGTTAAGCTATTTGCCGTATGACATGCATGTATGACAGATGCCAGCGCCCCGCTATGCGTCGCCTGTCAACACTGCCATTAAATGCAGGCCTGCTGTCTCCCCTCTCCAGCTGCGCTGTTCAGCCCACTGTCGCAAGGCTCTCCTACCTCCCTCCCTCCCTCCCTCCTCCAGCACTCTTCAGTCTATTCCCAGACTCTTCATCTCCTGCTTGCTCTCTACTGTAGCTCTTCTTTCGCCAAAAACAAAAAAAAAAAACCAACAAAAACTTTGTTTGTGTATGTTGCCAGGCATTTTAATTACGGATAGGGGCTGGCAGGCGTGTGGGGGGGTGCGAGTGTGGGTGTGCTGCGAAAGGGTGTCTGATGGGGCGGCACGGCACCGCACCGCACCGCACCGCATAGGACACAGTGTGGCCGTCTTTTCGCAGCTACTTTTACGCATGTTTTCGCGCAGAGACGCAAAAAGCAGGCGGCTTTCGGCTTGACATAAATTGTTGCTGCCAAACAACAAGAAACTGGGCCACGCCTACAGAAACGAAACCCATGGGCAACAAACATCAAATATCAACAGCAGAAACAGCAACAGCAGCAACAACAAACAACTGCCGCTTGGCTTGTCGCATGTAATTGCTTGCCACAAAGTAAATGACAATAGAACAAGGCAAAAAAAAAAAAAAGAATATACATGACACCGTCACAGGCACAGTGGTGCAAGGATTGAGATCAAAGTACAATCATTAGTTACAAAAACCGATCCAAAACAACAAAAGTTCCAAATCTTTTACAATTTCCAATTAAAATGATTGCACGTGATTATTTGTTTGAGTTAAATATTATTCTTTCGGGGTTTTGGCTCACATTACACACAACAAACACAAAACACTCAAATGTAATTAAATGGTATCCCCTTTTTTGTGCCTACCCATTCCACGGTGGCAGCCAGGGTCTCTGTGTAACTAAAAACCGCAAAAGCTTGTCACTCCCTCTTCCCCACCTCCCTTTCCCGCTTCCGTACCCAACCAACTCTCTCGTGTTCTCGCCCGCTCGCTCACACACTTCTCTATGCTGTCGAAGTTGTTTGCTTCCGCTCTCGCGGTTTTTGCCCCTGTATGTGTGTGTGTGTGTGTGTGTGTTTGTGTTGTAAAAGTATCTCTTGGCGGACTGTACGTGTGGGCGGCAGCATTAGAAAAAATAAACCTCAAGCCTCAAGTTCCAATTGAAGCTTGAAAAAAAATAAATAAATACTTGGCAGATGACGTCGTCTGTACGCGTCCGCGTCGCCCTCTTTGTATGGGTTTGGTTTTGTCGTCAATCAAATTTCAAACGTAGCCCCCCCCCGCTTTGACGCACTCCGATTGTCTTCGATACTGAATCCGATTCTGGCTGTGGCAGGCACTGTGCCCCACACACACGCACACACACACGCAAGCAGACCCCGTGCAACACACTGACTGTCAGGCAAAAATAAAACTGATAAGGCAAACAAACACGCAAACATTTTCTGCTATTTGCGTATCCAATATCGTTTTTTGGATACCATTCCGTACATTTGTTGTCTGTCTTTAATACCAACAGACGAGGTGGATACCCTTACAGGAGGGGCTACTAAGTTATCAACTAAAAAGTAAAAGATTTCAACGAAAATCAGGTACCACTGAATCCTAACTCTAATCAGCATTGGGGAGGGACTCTCAGCCCCGTTAGCTTTTCAGTGCCATCTTTTGCATATTTTAATAATTAGGATTCCATTGCCCAAGCTGCAAGTGTATAGAAAACTTCGTTCAAGCCGAAACCCTGTTCTGTTTGCATGCACTATTTTCAGTTATTTATTATTTTTTTGGTCAAAGCTTTTGGCCATTTAATATTCATTTATTCAGCCATGTTTATTTATTTATTTTGCGTGTCTCTTTCTCTCCCTCTATCTCTGCGTCTCTGGGTGAAATACCAACAGAAACTGAAAACGTGAAATCGCATGCTACGAGCAGCCATGGCCATGATTTTGATTTTGATTTTTTTTAAGCAGGCAATAAGCGACAAGAGGCAGAGTCAACACACACAACACCCAACAGACAATAGAAATCCAAAATAAAGCCAAATAAAGAGGCACTTGGCATCTATTCGATACCCTTGTGGGAGGGAGGGGAGTGCCATTGATGGCTTTGACAATATATTGTTGTACTCGTTGCTTATTGGATTGCTTGATATTTTAGTGGGCTTTCGACATAAGTTTATTGACTCGCATTAACCCTCATGGGTAGGCTGCAGCATAAGGGCTGTGGTTTAAAATCTGCATAATATAATAATAAATATAATATAGTATATTTTTGAATGGTCAATGGCCACATGGGGTGTACGAAGATGGTCTGTTCAAACAGCTAAAGCGAAGAGTTTGCAGGTTATTCTTGGTGTCTTGGATTAAGTGATAACCAACAAAACTCTCCACAAATTTATGGCTTTGGTAAGGAAAGTTTGTAGAATAACTTTCCATTGAGTAATTTGGTAAACTTTTATTGTCTTTTAAATTACAAACTACAAAGTTCAGCAACAGTTGAAGTGCCCTCAAAGCCATGTTCTTTAAATGTTTTTTTTTCTAAGGCATTATTACCTCGATTGAAAATCAAAAGAATGACAGGCCCATGCCCAAGAACCAATTAATTTCGACCTTGCAGTCAAGTTTAATATTTCTTACATCCATATATAGTACACATACATAGACGCACTCGTATTGGTTTTTGTATGCGTGGCAACTGGTTTTTATCTGGTTCGAGTGTGCAATTTAAGTATTTCAAATAAACGATTTTCCGTATGTCTTTTTTTGGAATTTATTTGGGTAAAAATAAACCCAAAAGAAGAACAATTCCAATGGGAGACATAACAGAGATATATGTACTACATACACTCGTGGATATAGAGGAGATTCCATGCCATGCCCGTTTTCTCTATGGCCCCAAGTGAGGCCAAAAGTTTTCTTTGTATCTCATAAATTCTTTTGTTTTCCTTGTTTTTCTTTGATTTTCTTTGGCGCGCACGTAGTAGAAAGAAAACTGGGTAACAAACAATCATAAAAAAAAAGTGAAAATACAGTGGGAAAATTGTCGCTGTCTGCGCTCCACTGCGATTACAGCAGCAGCAGCAACAGCAGCAGAAACAGCAGCCTCAAAACTAATTAGTTTCGCTGCATTCAAGCTGAATTTTACTTTTTCCTGTGGCTCTGGAAAAACGTCTGCAGACTGCAGCTAAGATTGAGTAAGACTTTCTTCCCCCATGCCTCTGGCCGCCCCCTCGCTGCGATTGTGCAACGTCCACAGACACAGAAAGACAGTGAGAGAGAGAGATTGGGGTGGGGTGGAGGAGAGATGGGAAGACAAATTCAGTTAACTGTTACACACAGTCACTGACTGACTTAATTCCCTACATTTTTACGATTGCATGAGAGAGCTCTGTGGAAGCTCTTTGCTGGCATCGCACAGTGGATCCATTCCATCCATGATTTAACAGAATAGAAAGGCTTGCCGATAAGCACAGTTACATTGCATATATCCTTTCGCTTATGGGAAACTTGCATCAAATATATAACTGATGGGCTAGGAAATGCTCTGAAACGGTAACGAAACGAAAAACGATTTCCCTGTGGAATATTGGAGGCAGGCTGATTGTGCAATGATGATTCGATAAGGCCGCTGCCTATTACGAGACTG